GGTTATTATATGAGGGGGGTTATTATATAGGCAGGGTCAGGGAGTGGGACAGAATGACGGCTTTGTAATAAGAGGCGGAGCTTGTCTGAACGATGATCCCGCCTCCGGGTTAGTCTGGTGAGGCGGTGATGAGTCTGTGTTGGGTGTAGTTGGGGCTCCGCCCCCTTCTCTGTCCATGTGTTGGGGCTCCTGATGATGGTTGTATAGGGGAGGCGAAGACATCCGGCACATATGTGGCTCCTGGCATCATACGTGTGTGTAGGGGGTTGGGCCCCCCCACCCCCACGGCTGTGCACACTGAGGAGCCGGGGTGCAGCATGGGGGGTGTTTTGGGGGAACTCCCGGCCGCCGTCTGTTCGGAATGCTGAGTGTCTGTTTGCCGGAATAAATGCTGACAGAGGCCCCGTGGCTGGCGGCCTATAAGCTGTAACCATGGCAACTGCTGGTGGTCCACGCATGGTAAACAGCCTCCACTCACCCCTTCACTGCCGGCCCGGCCACACGGAGGGGGGGGGATTGGAGGGATTTCTGTCTGGGTGCTGATCCAGCCAATGTCAGGTGACCGCCGGGGCCCAATCCCACCGATCATAAGACGAGGCATCAGATCCGGCCCCACACCCTGCACCTCGCTGAGATCAAACTTCCCGACATAGTGTACAGAGAGAGAAAACACCCCCAACACCGACCTCCTACTGAGCCTCCAACCTTCTTCTGGCCTACTACTGAGCCCCCCACCTTCTCCTGGCCTCCTACTGACCCTCCAACCTTCTTCTGACCTCCTACTCAGCCTCCAACCTTCTTCTGACCTCCTACTCAGCCTCCAACCTTCTTCTGACCTCCTACTGAGCCTCCAACCTTCTTCTGGCCTACTACTGAGCCCCCCACCTTCTTCTGGCCTACTACTGAGCCTCCAACCTTCTCCTGGCCTCCTACTCAGCCTCCAACCTTCTTCTGACCTCCTACTCAGCCTCCAACCTTCTTCTGGCCTACTACTGAGCTTCTCACCTTCTTCTGGCC